TCCTTGAACCTACCTTTGAAATTTTTCTGATCAACCGTGACAAATCCCCCTAGCCTGTTGCCGATAATCTGTGCCGTCTTTTCTGTGAACAACTCTGCCGGCACGTCATAGACTTGAACCCAGAAGTTCTCCCGATTCAATGGAATAGTTTTAGGATTGTCGTTTGCTTCCAAACGTCGCAGTACCAGAAGGCAGTTCTCAAAGGACCATGGGCCGTCATTTAGAACTCTCTCCACATCCACTTCATGAAAGAATTGAAACAAATAGCGTCGATTACCAACCTCTCGGATGTTCACTCCTCTACCGGGTCTCCACACGTTTGCCATGGAGTCTCTAAAATACGGGAACCGAATCTGCCTATCTGTAAGGAGTCTACCCACGATGGCAAAAGCTGAGTTTGCCGAACAGTCCTCAGCCACAGCTTCTTCCACATCAACTGCTTCAAGTTCTTCATCCGCCAGAGTAAGTCTCGCATACATATCTTCCATGAGTTCATCCATAGTGAGCGTAAGAGATGCTAAAATTCGCTTCAGTTGAAATCAAACACAATGATCGAAGGAATCAAATGCAGTAAACCCTAGAATCGCTAGGGAAGAAAACTTCGACTTGACGTACACCTCTTACAGCAACAAGAAATAAAACTTCGACTTGACGTACACCTCTTTGAGGATTCTCTTTGGAAAATGCCCCGTCTGTAGTACTGTATTCACAAAGTCCTTGATTGTAGGACCCACAGTGTTCCAGAATTTTTTATACACAGCTGCTGGCATCCCATCTGGCCCTGGGCTGCTAAAGCTTTTCATACCAAAGACTGTGGTTTTAAGCTCATCCAAATCAGCATCCTTCATAAGACTATGTTGTTGATTTTCAGAAATCTTTGGACATTCCAGATTATGCAACAGCTCACTCCCACCACTACCTGAATCTCTGAAAAGCTTTTCATAGTACTCTCTGATATGAGTTGCCATCTCTTCCTGTTCTGTTGACCAGGTGCCGTTGATCTTAAGCCTGCAAATGTTTTTCTTACTATGATGAATGATGGCAGCTTTGTGGAAGTAGCTTGTGTTTCTGTCGCCGCCTTTGATCCATTCCACATTTCCACCCGAGCTCTTTGAAACCACAACACTTCCTCTCTATCCAGGATTTTATTGTATTCTTCCACCAACTTTAGTTCCAGGATTTGTTCAGAATGAAAGTTCGAGTAGTTTAGAGACTTTTGTATCCCTTGTATTCTGGCCCTAAGTTGACGTTTTTGACGAAAAATGTCTCCAAATTCTTCTTTGCTCCACTCCTTGCTAGACATCATGGTTTGATGGATAGCTTCATCTATCGAATTAGTGTTTTGTCTCCAGGCATCAGTAAAGACTGGTTCCAACGAATCATGTGCCAGCCAGGCAGCTTCAAATCTAAGTGGACGTTCCCGCCAAGTTGGTTTCCGCTCAAGATTACTTGTAAAGATAACCGGGTGGTGGTCTGAGTGTAGCCGAGGGAGGATATAGGATTTTGCATCTGGAAAACTCATGTTAGCTTCCAGATTCAAAACTACTCTATCAAGTTTTTTCCGCAGAACCACCCGGGCACCCTCTCGTTTTACCCAAGTAAAGAGTGGACCTTCTGATCCTGTATCGTAAAGCTCACAACTGTGTAGTTGTTCCTGAAATCTTTCCATGGCTCTCCAGAATAGGATACTGCCACATTGTTCTGATCCCCAAAGTGTATCGTTGAAATCTCCCATGATAATCCAAGGTCCAGAATGCCTTGATTGGAAGTCCCTTATCTCCGCCCAACATCTTTCTTTGGCAGCTAGATTGGGCCGAATATAAACAATAGTACAAATGGTTCTGCAGTTGTTTATCTTCACATCACAGTGAATGGCTTGGGATGACTTCTCCATTATCTTCACATTACTTTAGTTGGGTTCCATAAGATGGCTAGAAAGTTGGGTATGAGCTGTTGGGATGGTGTTCCGCCCTTGGGTTTTGCTGGTGGAATTATAATCTTATGGAATCCGACTTGAACGATCCTGATCCATCATGTTTGTGAATGAATCAAGTTTCGTGATTTTGTCCATAAGTGGGTCGCCATGTGGATAACTATGGATGAAACTAACGGGTAAACTTATTCATGACCGGCTAAAGTGACTAGTTGAACATTTTTTATAATTAGAGAGTTCAATTGTTTGAACTTGAAGTATAAGAACTTAGTTTACTTTTTTGGAGTACAAGAGTTTACATGACATTTTCCCCTTAAATCTACCTTTTTACATATTGTGTTGTTGCAAGTGAGAATGGTACGCATCGAACCACATCAGGATGTGTGCATCATCTTCTATTGACATAACATCATTGATTTTGCTTTATGGGATGCACCGTTGAGATTCAAAAGGTGAAAAGTCTTCCATACTTTCAATTTTTTTTTGGGATGAAAGGTAAGTATATTAATCATACCCAAAATAACACAGTACAATGTATCAAAACTAAAAAGCTAGCAAAAACTAGCTAAATATTATCAAACCACTCAACCCCCCCCTCCCCTAGGAGGAGGCAAGTGGGGGAAGAGAATATTACGGTGAACGTCCAAAGATTCTGAAACAGTGAAGTCCCATCCTCCGAAAGGATCAGCTCTAACGGCCTAGTAACTGCCCAGCAGTGTCCAAAATACCCATCAATCAGCTCCACAACCCCAGGATATAGTTTGTAGCCCACCAAACCAACAACTCAACCCACACTTCGGTTGGAGACCCATACGTGCTTCAGTCAAACTGCTACCCTAGTAAGTGAGCTTCCCACCGAACCCAAAGAGCAAAGAAAGTAACCAAGGAAAGAAGGCCCTGCATTCCCGAGGTATCCGCAGCAGTCTAGGCAAGAAGGCTCAGCCCAAGTCCATAACCCCCCACGCGGGTAAGGTTAGTCACAAACCGGGTTAGCCTCAAACCCATCCATCGCAAAGGGGATGCGCCGCACAAACGAGCGACGACAAACCAAATACCCGGACCCACCACCCCCACCCCCACCACCCCATCTGGGTTCCGGCATCGCCAAACAGTCCGGTGGTGAGAGAAGAGGCCATGACCCAGCGGGAGAGAAACCTTGCTAATAGTAGATCCACCTGCCACCTCCAACCCCTTCGAGCCCCGACGGCCCCCAGCAGTGTCGGCAGAAGGCTTTGAGTAGCGATTAATAGTAGCAAAAAATGTGACGAGCACCACGAACAACGAAAAATCCAAACCAGTGAATCCTCGACGAAGTACTAAATCCAAATTAAACCCAAACTATGGTAAGCCCCCCCCCCCCATGAGGCCCAAGACCCCTCCCGTGCAGCTATGGGCTTCTTGACCAGCACCCCACACATGTAGAATCCCGCTACAACCATTCCAACCCAGCGCCCGACCATTACAACCATCTACTGCGGACGCCAAATACCTTCTGCGGACGCCAAATACCTTCTTCCTGGAAGAGTGTGGGTGGCAAAAGGACGAGACGCAAACCAGTTCGTAGGGCTCCAATGCAAGCCATCCCTCGATCTCTCCAACTCCAAAACCTCAAACTGATGACTGCGCGAAGCAGTAGCCACACCAGTGCTACTAGCCTGAGGATCAGAAAGGGAGGGTTGTACCAGAAAGAAACTCCGATCAAATGTCTATTTCCCCTCGTGAGACGACAGAGAAGGCCAACAACAGGTGGTGGCCAAGGGGCATGGATTACCACACTATTTAGGTTGCCAGAGCGACCACAGGCTTGGCTCGATCAAGAAAAGGAGAGGGAGTGCGCCAAGGGGACAGAGGTTGTACTTACCGTTGTTAAACCCGTCTGCTAGAGTCGCACATCTCACCGGAAGGTGGTCAATTTCAATCCGCTACATCATCGAACACAGGTATCTAGCTGTCGCTCGTTCACCACCGTTGCACCCCTCCCCTCAAGGTAACACCCAGGGCTACTGACCGCGGTTTAAAGAGACCCACATTTCCGGTGGACCTTTGACAGTCAACCATTCCATAGAGAAGTTAAGCTGCAACCGACCAAGGAAAGAACCAAGAGAACCAATGAACCATCGAGTCCACATTAGTGGAGTCTCGTTCCAAACATCTAGTTGAAACCCAAGAAATCAAACGGAGCCATGGCAGCTCCGGTGGTGGCCCACCGTGAGAGTGGCGGCGCCGATGATCCGGAGGGGGGGGAGAGTAACCTAGAGGAAGCCTAGTGAGAGACACTCTCAACTCTCTCTCTTCCCGGAAGAGTCTTCCGTACCTACAAAATAATAAGAAATGGAGTATATGGCCTAGGACAACATCATTTGGCAACATGAAGTACCCACAACAATAATGAGTTTCTAAAAAACATAGTTTATGAGTTAGAAAGTGATGGATTATATGACCCAGGACCCCCCAGGTCCACGTACTTTGCCACCTCAACAGTCTCAATCACCTCGAGCGGACCCAAAGAGACAACTGGAGACACTTCAAGACCAAGCTCGAGGGCTTCGAACAAACGCCTTCGCATAGAAGGGCCACTTCATGCATGAGGACTACAACATTTCCATCTCAGTGTGAGTGCACAAAGTTATCCCTTCATCCCCCAGAGTAAAGCCCTCGAACCCGATCTGGAGACTTTCAGAATCGGCGCTTTCGCAACACTCAACCACTGCATTTAATAGTGCATCACGTGCCCACATCTATGCCACATCAGTGCTTTCCGCCTTTGTTTAGCATTCCCTTGCATGAATGCACTCTCTCTCCTATTTAATAGCTTTGCTTTTTCTCTATCTACCGCTAGTAGTATCCTGATATTAGCTATGTATCAGAAAACATTCAGATATTTGGATGTCATTCCGAAACAAATATGGAAGATATGTTAGGATAGTAGATATAGTTAGGAAATTGTAACGAAAAAAATCTCTCTAGATGTTTGAATTACATGTTCATTAATTGTTCTAAGATTTCAATTGCCGGCTTTGTCAATACAATGTATGAGAAATTCATCCAACTTTCCACGGATTGGCAGGTTAGTATGATCGATGTGACAACAAAACGAGTACCATTTTTTCAAGAAGAGAAGGAACATGATTACAGATTGATCGCAATGAAGATGACACACTTTCATACTTCCGCATCATCAGTCTACATGACTGTACTTGGTTACCACAAATGCCACAACAAAATTTATGCTACTTATGTTTGGAGTAAATCGTAAAGCGCCTTTTGTGCAGGTGTTTCCAAAGAGTGCAATATTGTCTGGATTATTATCTAAAAAGGTAAAACAAATTCGGCGAATCCGTCTAATGTTTGCAAAAAATATGTAGCTTGACAGATTTGGTGAATCCGTCTATACTCCTCTTGGTCAATAATTGTGGTCTTGGATCGCCATTTTGGAATCCCACTTTAAGGGCGCAGTCGACATATGATTTGGCGGATTGGCAAATCTGTCGAGAATAAATAAATATATAGTTTAACAAATATGTCTAAGCTCCTATTGATCAATAATTATGGTCATGGATCGCCATCTTGGAATGTCCGTTTAAGGGTGCGGATCAGCATTCAACTGAGCGGATTTGGGAAATCTGTCCAAAAAAATAAATATTATAGTTAGACAGATTTGGCAAATTTATTTTGTAGAAGCTCATATTGATTAGTATAGTTGGCTCAGATCGCCATTTAGTCGAGCAGATTTGGCAAATCTGCTCTATAAAATTCACTGCAATTCACACTTCATTCATCATTCAACTGCTCCAATTTCTCCTCTTCACTATATTTCGGTCATCTCCTTCATTTTATACCAATTAAGTTTTTCCTTAATCATTTATAGTTTATTTTAGCAAATAATTTAATTATTTTTATTTAGAAATAAATTAGTATATAATTAGCATTGATTTTTAATTGTGAAATAAGAAACTTATCAAATATTAGTCTATTTACAAGATTAGTGTATAATGTATATGCATGCTAATATTACCTCTGGATAATTTCTTCACCATTCGTTTGTAGAAATCTTTCATATTTCGGTGTAGAAATTAGCCTATAATTAATGTTAATTTTTAATTGTCAAATAGAAAATGTAATTAGTATTAAATATTGTATTATAAGTATGTGTTAATTAGTGATATTTATATATTGTATGAGAAATGAGATGAAAATACAATAATTTGTATATGTTATATTCAATCATATTATTTATTAATTAATGTGGATCAATAATTATGCTTAGAGAATGTTAATAATGAAATAGTAGTGTTGTTTAAATAGGTATTAGAAATTATATTATGAATAGTGATGTTTAATTAGATCTATAATGTGTATTATGCATGTTAGTGTTGATTACATATTATTTTAACATATTATTAGGCTTTTATGGCTACACAAAGAGAACACATCGGCCTCCTAACCTGTTCTGCATTGGTGATGAGACCCGGAGAACATCGTGCTGATGAATTGTGGAAAACTGAAACGTCGTGAGACAAGAAAGTGAGGTCCATTACTTTTCTATCAACGGCCGCGACAAAGGCGAGTGTCACCCTAGAGTCGTACAACTATTGAGGGCATCAAGTTTTCACAAAGTTAAGCGATTAGAAAAAAATTAATATTCGACTGGGATCTTACCACCGCATTGGTTAAGAGATGGAGATCAGAAACACAAGCTTTTTATTTACTCTTTGGCGTGGTAGGCATTATCTTGCAAGATGTACATGTGCTGATCGGATTATCGATTAGCGGTCTCTCACTTACTGGTTCAATGACATATATTAAGATTGAATGGATGCAGATGTGTGATGATTATGTTGGAATTGGGTCACTTGATGATGATATCCAATTATCAACCATCAGAATGCTAGCTGTTTAGCGCTTCTCTTTATCACCGTGGAGCACATATATCGCCATTATTCGACATACGAAACCACTGGTTTGGTAGTTGCTCAGTGGTTTGTTGTTCCATAACACTAGTGGTAGAGTGACGTTCTACTTTCTTGAGTTGTTGCCGGATAACATAAAGAATTTGACTAGGTGATGTTGGGGATAAATTGTATTGGCATTTTTGCACCACAACTTGTGTCTAGCAGTGAAGGCGGACAAAGCCTTGTTGTGGATTATAAAGAAAGTATGATACGCTCGTATCTTAACATTAGAGAAATGGTTTAGTAATTGGGAGGCATCGTACAACGATCTCCCAAAACTTCTACAAGGTATGACCTTTAGTAATCTGTGCACTATTGTGAACCTACGAATAGAAGAATCCAATACGCAAGGTATGTATGAATTTAAATACACATATTGATGTGGGAAGGCAGCGATTAATGGTTTCAATCACTGTCTTTTGGTCATTTTCATTGATGGTACACAGTTGTGCAGTTATTACAAAGGTACATTGTTGGTCGCAATGATAATGAATGTCGACCGTGAACCTCTAGCTTTTAGATTGGTTGATAGTGAAAATGGGGAGAGTTGCAAGTGGTTTTTAAGTTAATTACGACACATATCATTGATCTGTATCAGAATGTATGTAGAAAATCTGACCGACATGTCGCTATTGATTGTGTGTTCTGGAATGTGCAACAATTGGGAACACCTCTAATTCAGAGGCAATATTGTTCTCGACACATTCAAAGTAATTTTATGTCCCAATTTCGAAGCAAGCAACTATAAAAATTGTGTTGGCGTGCCGAAAGTACCAACATTTTAAATGAATTCAACAATTATATGCAACAAATTTGGGGTACTAATGAAAGAGCATTCATCTATCTTGATGGTACACAGTTGTGCAGTTATTACAAAGGTACATTGTTGGTCGCAATGATAATGAATGTCGACCGTGAACCTCTAGCTTTTAGATTGGTTGATAGTGAAAATGGGGAGAGTTGCAAGTGGTTTTTAAGTTAATTACGACACATATCATTGATCTGTATCAGAATGTATGTAGAAAATCTGACCGACATGTCGCTATTGATTGTGTGTTCTGGAATGTGCAACAATTGGGAACACCTCTAATTCAGAGGCAATATTGTTCTCGACACATTCAAAGTAATTTTATGTCCCAATTTCGAAGCAAGCAACTATAAAAATTGTGTTGGCGTGCCGAAAGTACCAACATTTTAAATGAATTCAACAATTATATGCAACAAATTTGGGGTACTAATGAAAGAGCATTCATCTATCTTGATGTCATTCTCAAAGACAAGTGGACACTTTGTTTTGATGGTGGGTGTCGTTATGATTATTTATGACAAATCTATCTGAAAGTTTTAATCATGCCCTAAAAGGTTGTATAACACTTTCAATTATAGCACTTGTGAGAGCAACTTTTGATAAATCTGTTCAGCTCTTTGCAGAATGAAATAGTGTTGATGTGACATGGAATCAAAGCAGATATAACTATCCGGAAAAAATTAGGAAGGAAATTATGAATCAATGGCAACAAAGGCGTCACACTATGATAATCCGAACAATCATTCTAGTAGACTCTATTTATTAGCCATACAAAATAGCACTCTAGTTACGATACGCTTGTCAAGACGTGATTGTGATTGCAGGTGTTTGAGAATGAGGTAGATGTCATGCACCATGTCGATGAGCTTATCCTGCAGGTATATAAATTGAACTCTTACATTAATGCATATGCGTGTGATATTATACATTTATCAAATATGAATGAGTGACCAAATGTTGGGTTCCATCTTTTACCGTCGAAATATTTATCACGAACTTCTTAAATGGGGCTTCGTTAAGAAACAAAGTTTCAAAATCAGATGGATATGCGTCCAAGCAGAACAAGAGGAAGATGTATATCCTCTTCTGCTGCTTGGACACATATCTATCTCATTTCAAAACCTTGTTTCTTGACGACGCCCCACTTGAGAAGTTTGTGATAAATATTTCGGCCGCAAAAGATGGAACCCAATATCCGACCACACGTTCATATTTGGTAAAAGCATAATATCACCCGCATGTGCGTTAATGTAAGCGCTCAATTTATATACCTCCAAAATAAATTGATCGACAAGGCACATAAGGAAGTGACAATCATCATGCACGTCGGTGCATGACATCTGGTTCATCCCCCAACATCCGCAATCACAGTCAAATCCTGACAAGTCTATTGTAACTGGAGTTGCATTTTGTATGACTACTGAGTAAACTCCACTAGAAAGATTGTGGGGGATTGCCACAATGTGATCCTTTGTTTCTATCAGTCCAGAATTTTCTTCTGGATTTTTTTCGGAATCTCTTTGATTCAACATCACATTAGCACTACGTTGTTCTTCAAAGAGCTGAACATATTTATCGAAAGTTACTCTCACAAGTGAGGTAATTGAAAGCCTTCTACATCCTTTTAGGGCATGGTTAAAACTTTTCAGATAGATTTGTCATTAAAATTCCACAACGACACTCACCATAAAAATAAAGTTCTTACTTGTCTCTGGAAATGACATCAAGTTGAATGCTCTTTCATTAGTACCCTGAATTGGTTGGGGGCATATAATTGTTGATTTCATTTAGAATGAGGGTATTTCCTGCATGCCAACACATTTTTTTTAGTTGTTTGCTTCAAAATTGGGAATAAAATTACTTTGAATGTCTCGAAAAAATTATAGTCTCTGAATTAGAGGTGTTCCCATTTGTGGCACGTTCCGGAATGCACAATCAATAACGACGTGTCGGTCAAATATTATCCAAGCATTCCAATACGGACCAATAATATGTGTCAAAACTAACCGTAAAACCCCATCCAATTTCCCCCATTTTCACTATCAACCTCCCTAAAAGCTAGAGGAAAGATTTTGCGATTGACATTCATTGTCACCACGACCAACAATGTACCTTTGTACTCATCGTACAAGTGTGTACCATCAATGAAAATGATCAAAAAATTATGATTGAAATCATCAATCGTTGCTTTTATGGACCACACTGCATATTTAAATTCATACGTACCTTGCATATTGGTTTAATCTGTACGTAGGTCAACAATGGTGCCCAGGAAAAGTCATACCTTGTAGAAGTTTTGGGAGATCGTTGTACACTGCCCCTAATTACTAAACTGTTTCGCTAATGCCAAGATACAAGCGCACTTATAACCCACATGGATGTTGAACTTGCAATGTATGTCATGCATGATGAGCCCGATACTATAATCGGGCTTAACAAAAATTGTGGAGCCTATTTCATAAGAAATTAACTTACTTGTGAGGAGTTTATCGTTCTTATCTAGTGTGTAGTCGGGGATGCAATTCTGTTGGGGTTGATATTGTTTGACTTTTCAATGTATGGTGCGTTTGATTGGCGAAGCTTGAATATGCCACTTACAAGCGTCATCATAAACACACTTTGCTCAGCAATAATTTGAGTGTTTCGCCATGTATTGGGTTTTGAAGGGACACAACTTCGTTCAATTTTTTGAATGTATCAAATATTCTACCCCCATGTATTGGTTGTTCTTGGTTATATGTGGGTGCAACGAACTGCTCCTCTTCCTCATTTGGAATAGCCCAAGACAAGTAACGACTATCACACTTGTCTTCATAATTGCTCTCATATTTAGAAAAGGAAAGAGCGTTATAATCGTGATCATCGTCACTTTCGAAATTAAACATCAGTGGGGACATTGATGTCAATCATTGACTCGAATGATTGGTCATACCTCACTTCCTAATTGGTCAAATTAGTCCCTATAAATGTGTACAATGAATTTGCTAGAGTCTAACCAGTTATGCGGATAGGTATATATAACAACTTATAATGCAAATCATATTTACCATAATATAGTACTACGTATAATTTAATACTCCCTCTGTCCCAATATAAAAGGCACACTTTCCTTTTCGGTCCGTCCCAATATAAAAGGCACATTTCCCTTTTTGGCAAACAAAACAGTGCCAAACAGTGCCAAACAGTGTCTAAACAGTGCCAAACAGTGTTCAAACAGTGTTCACCCTTAAAAAGTCCCCAAACGCAAATGTGCTTTTTATATTGGGACGGAGGGAGTATATTATATATGGGAAGTTTACCTAGCACCATAGGGCAAATCGTATATTCTATCCAGTGGAAGAACCCCTTGGGGTCGAACAATCCACAACCTCTCCCATGCACAGAGTTCTAGAAGGATTAAAAAAATCCTCCCACCGAAGCTTTTTCCGCCTTCGCTCCTTGACACAAGTTGTGACACAAAAATGCCAATACAGTCGATCCCCAACTCCACATAGTCATATTCTGTATGTTGTTCTGTAACAACTCAAGAAAGTAGAACGTCAGTCTACTGCTAGTGCTAGGGAACAACAAGTCACCAAACAATTACCAAATCAGTGCTTTCGTATGTCGAATAATAATGTCAATATCTCTGCTCCATGGTGATAATGGGGCGCAGTGAATGGGTAGCACTCTGATGATGGATGATTTGATATCATCATCAAGTGATCAGAATCCAACATAATCCTCACACATCTCCATCTATTTAGCCTTACTATGTATCGTCGGATATATAAGTGAGAGACCGTCAATGGGTAACCCGATCAGCACTTGTACATCTTGCAAGATAATGCCTACCTCGCCAAAGGGTAAATGGAAATCATGTGTTTCTGGTCTCCATCTATCAACCAATGTGGTGATAAGACCCCAGTCAATATTGATTTTTCCTAATCGCTCAGCTCCGTGAAAGCCTGATGCCCTCAACAGTTGTACGGTGACTCTAGGGTGACACTCGCCTTCGTCACCAGACGCCGAGGGGAGAGTAAGGTACTTCAATTTGGCATGTTTCAACGTTTTGTTTTTTCACACTTCATCAGCACGATGTTCTCCAGGTCTCATCATCAATACATAACGATATAAGGGGTCGGGGTGTTCTCTTTGTGTAGCCATGAAAGCCTAATATTATATTAAAATAATTTCTAATCAACACTCATATGTGTAATACAAATTCTAAATATAATTAAACAACACTATTTATAATACAATTTCTAACACCTAATTACACAACACTACTATTTCAAAATTAACATTCTCCAACTACAATTATTGATCCACAATAATTAATAAATAATCATTGGGTATAACATATACAATTTATTGTATTTCCATCTCATATCACATACAATATCTAAATATCACTAAATTATGCTCCATCCATTCCCAAATTAACTTCTCATTCACTATTCACATGATCAATTTAAATCATTCTTAATCTTTTTTGCTTTATATATCAAATTTTTATCAAGTTTATATTTTTTTTATCAGACTTGGTAGAGGTTTTAATATAGTTTCTGAATATGTAAATTTTATTTAGTAGAAATAATCTGAGTGTGAATAGAGATCAAGTTATTTATTGTCAATCAAGCATCGTAATTCGAAAAGAGAAGTTGTTTCAAATACGGAGATAGTACATGTTTATAATACAATTTTAACACTAATTAATTTTTTTATTTTACAATTAAAAATTAACACTAATGATAGACTAATATTTGATAAATTAACACTAATTGTTGACTAATTTCTACACTGAAATTGGAAAGATTTCTATATACGAGTGATGAAAATATCATTAAGAAGCAAAGTTAACATGCACATTAGTAATTTTTTTTTATAGTAAATTTATACATACGTATAAATTTACAATAATCTATCCTATTTGGTAAGTAGAAAAATATTTGGTATGTTTCATATTTTACATTTTTCTATAGGTTCCTATTTAACAATTAAAAATTTACACTAATTATAGACTAATTTCATTTCGAAATAACATTTATTAAATTATTTACTAAATTCAACTAAGATAATTAAAGAAAAATTTACTTGCTCTAAGATGAAGAAGATGGCCAAAATATGGAGAAAATAAGAAATTGGAGCGATTTGTGAGGAATGAAGTGTGAATTGTGGTGGATTTTATAGAGTAGATTTGTCAAATCTGCTACACTGAATCTGAGCCAACTCAGATTGACCAATAGGAGCTTGGACAAATTTGTCAAACTATAATATTTATTTATTTTGATTTGCACCCTCAAAGTTCCAATCCTAGATTGCGACAATTATTGATCAATATACAGGAGTTTGGACATATTTGGCAAATATCTCAAACTATATACTTGTATTTATTTATTTATTTATTCTTGACATATTTTCCAAATCCGCTCAATTGGATGCGATCTGCGTTCTTAAATTGGCGTTCCAAGATGGCGATTCAAGACCACAATTATTGATCAATAGGACAAACAGATTCCGCACATCTGTTTTACCTTTTCAGCTAATAATCCAGACTAAATCACTCTCTGTAAACACCTGAACAAAAGGTGCTCTGTTCCATATGGATCACCTAGCAGGCTGGCCATGGACGAAGTTCTTACGCCAATTGTATTCTCACGGTATTATGTCAATCTCGAATACTCATGAGTGGCCACTATTATGCCCTTCTGGGGTAGTAGTACGGGATAGTGATCTATCTGTCTAACTGTTCAGGAGTTAGAATGTCTTTCCGCGATGAAAAAATGAATGACGACACGATCTAATTGAGGTGTCGGGTTGTGAGGAGGGGAGTTGTTGTCCCACACCGGATATCTATTAGAATGGAACCCAAGGTCTTAACAATATATATTATCATAATGGTGCATGTTAAGACATTCTTTTATCGTATAAATTAACCCTAGTTATTAGGGAAAGATTATTGTTATATAATCACAATTAGTATTACAATTTTACGTTGGTTTTTTTAGTAATTTCTAGTTGTGTCATGTGTGAGTTTTAATCTAGACGGATCTACTCGACCCGTTTTCGATACTCATCAAGTCCAAATCTTCAAAATTTATTTTATATCATGTGTGGAACATACGGAGTACAATGTAACTAACCTTTCTGGATTCGGATCGGAATATGTTTCGTGTTTCGACTCATGAATGTAGCAAAACATAGAAATACTATTGCACTGAGCTACATAGTTTGAGGTTTTAGAACTAATTTCAAACTTTAAATGATGTCAAAAATGCTAAATATAAATTTTCATTTGACTCCATGTATAGGTACATTGGGAGGAATAAATGGGGTAGGAAAGTGAAAAAGTGGGATGGGTGTAAACCGACTGTCATCTTCTCCCTCTGGAAATCATATGGCCCAAGAGCAAAAAAGGCTAGACGGTTGGGAAAAGGGCGGGGAGCATGATTCAAATAGTATCTGGCAGAACTACACCTTAAATTAGAGATTATTGATGTTAATTTTGTCAAAATGTGTAACAATATGTATAACAAATGCAACTGCTGAGATGGTTTTGGTTTTGTTAGAACGGGAAAAGTGCTCCAATGACCCAAACTGAAAGCCGGCAGTTAAAACATTGAGCAATCCAATGTTTGAAATTAAAAATATATGCTTTTTTCAATGAAATATAAGGGTTTTTCATAGATGGATAGATTGGATACAATAACAACATCCAAACCTTAAAACAAACTTGAAAAGAAGTTATTACACAAATGTAATATATAAATAATGATTATTGACCCGAGATATGTAAAAAATTATCAATAGTGATAATATTAACTTTCTTGGATTGCATTAAAAAGTTGTATTGACAGACTGAATACATCAATATTTGTATAAATATGAAAATAATTTATTGAGTGTAGGTCACACAATATATGCTGGTTTATCTTGAAATCTCATCCTTGATTAAATAATTAATACAAGTGATAGAAATTTAGATCACAAGTTCAGTCAAGGCCCGTGCTAATATCTAACACTCCCTCCATCCCCAAAGAACTTTCAGTTGTGGTTTACGATATTTGATCGACGATAAAGTTAATTGATTCATGTCAATATTCAAATGTTTTTTTGTAAATAAAATATGTATATTCAGAAACTATATTAGAAATTTTACAAAATTGAAAAAATTAGTTAAAATTTAATAAAAGTTTGATATACAAAATAAAAATGAAAAATATAGTTTTTTTAAAATAAATAAATGTCATTGTAGGTGACAAAGGATGGTTTTCCAGTAATTTTCCATGATGTCTTCCTCTTTACCGAAGAAAAGGTCAGTGTGCTGCCAGTTCTACTGTTTTAGTGCTCATCTCATCCATCTATAATTATCACCCTATTCGTCTTAATCATACATATGCATTTTTATACTTACATATAATCTCGACATCTCTTGTTTAATTTTCAGGGCTTAATCATTGAGAAGAGAGTTACAGATCTCACTTTGGATGAGTTTCTTTCCTATGGGCCCCAAAGGAGTGCAGAAAATGTTCGTAATGATTACTACCTCCCTCACGCAATTAAGATCTTAGTTCCTGTCCCAAAATTAAGTTTCAACTTCTCGGTAATATTTGATTGGTAATATACCATAAGTCCATAAATTATTGATTTTCTCCGGAGAAAGAACAAATATGCTCTTGAACCTTAGATATGAGAGGAAATATATCATTCAACCTCATTTTGGAACAACTAAACACAAATTGTTTAGTTCAGAGACCGGACATTTATCGGACCAGACCAATTCAGACTAGATCAGACCAGACTAGACCAGCAAATTTCAGTCCAAAAGAAAACATCCTTACCCATGAATTATATATGAGAGAACATGTATACCACTTAACATGTATACCCTTAACCTAATGGACGTAGGGGTGTATTTGTTCAACCCTTACCACTTTTATTTAATTGTTCCAAATAAAAGTTCAACATTCTCTAATATATAGTTTTTTTTTTTGATCATTCTAATATATAGTTCAAGAGTAATAAAGTATGTATATATATGTGTCCCTTAAAAAGTCAATAAACATTATGTATCTAAAATCCTTTGAATTCAAGTTTTAATCTTAATTACGGGACGAATAAGGGTATGATTGCAAGTAATCCCAAGTATGATTATAAGAATGCAATTTCTCTGAAAAGTTTTTTAATAACTATTTTTTTCAAACAGGTTGGAAAGCCGATATACCGAAAAACGAAAGGAGGGACAATTTTTGAATGGGCTGTTGAAGATGATGATCATCTATGCATATTGAAAGATGTATTTCAGAGCGTTAATGACTCATTAGGCTTTAACATTGAATTGAAGTTCGACAACAACAGAGTTTACACAGAAGCAGAGCTTGTAAGAGTTATTAAAGTGATCATGAAGGTATGAATCGGTTTTTAATCTTAACTAAGTAGAAAATATGATGTTTAGTTTATATTTATGAATCTTATATGTCAATTTTTTTTACCAAAAACTTGATTCATGACTTCATTGATTAATACTACCAAAAACATGGAGTATAACTCCATTTTTGGCCGAGATTATTGATTTTAAATTAAGAAAGACGTCACTTTCATCAATGTTTCTTGACTAAATACGTAGTATTATAATTCTGGGCTAAGGGGAAATGTATCCTACAACTAACCTTATCTGTTTATTGTACAAAAAGCTTACGAAATTAGTACTTGGGTATTAATAGTATATTAGTATGTTAATTATGTTGAGTCAAACATCTTTTTCATTCTTTCTTTGAATGAGTTTGTCAAATTTGATGAGTACCGTTTTTGTCTTTGGAATTGCAAAATTCATGTCAGATTCAACAACGGGTATTCTTTAGATACAGGTAGTTTTGATAGACTTTTGGAGTCAACAATATAGATGGAGTACTTTTGGAGTATTTGTGTTCTCTCAAATTTAGCTCTCTTTGGAAAAAAATTAAGGAGACTTATATGATCGACTCCCGAGGGTATTGTGGCACTATTATCATCACTCATTTGTAGTGAGGTTTCCACAAAAAAATGGATGGTGATGATGGCGCCACAACATCTGGTATGACTTTATACGGGAATCATATCAATCTCCATAAATCTAAATCCTATATTTGATGAATAGTTAAAACCCCGCAAATATGACTAATTAAAGTGAAATTGTTGAACACAAAGTATTTGGAGATTTATTTAGGAGAAATGCTTAATTAAAAATGTAATTACCTAAATAGATATGGTGTATATGTTATAATAGGAAAATACAAAAACAAAGGCAAAACTCTCATTTTCTTACAAAAATCATAAAATAGGTCGAGTTTGAGGTGATTTTTAATGCTTATCCATCCTATCATCCAAGAGTTTTGGTTCGTGTAATTGTTTGTCTACACACAATTACGTTTGGGTTTAGTAAAAAGTACTGTTTGTGATCTCGAATTGTTTGTGCATTGACAATTCATTTATTTGGAGTTACAAACATTTCGCTAGTAAAACGCTTAGTAAAACTCAAATGTAATTGTCTGTGCACACACATTTACACTTGGATATGTACAGTGTGTAATTCGATATGTACACGAAGCAAAACTCATCAACAAAATGTTGTAATGGTGTTGCTTTTTTATATCTTTCAATAAAGCCTCATTAGCCAATTTCATATATACCAAACGACCTCCTACTTGGAAGATATATTTGTGTTTGAACCAATTATACTACTAATTTTTTAGGAAAATGCGGGCTTTGTGTACACGGCGGGTTATACGCCTGTGTACACAACTTAAAAAGCCCCACCCCCCAAAGTAACTAACCCACCCCACCCCCTCTCTGCCGAAATAACCTCCCATAAAATTCCTCCACGTGCGCCCGCTTTTGAAAAAAACTAGCCACCCCCCCTCTTCCCTTTCTCCCATGTGGCCGTTCTCTTTCCCGATTCCCCACACCAGCGAAAACCGCCCCTACAGAAAACCCAGCCAAACCCACTCCCTTCTTCCATCAAACTCCTCTCGCCGTCGTCTTCTCCGTTCTCCGTCCACAAAATCTTAAGAACCCACGAAACCCATCCCCCTCAACATCTTATGTCCACCACGGAAGTTCATCCCATGAAACCGCGTTCTGAACTCCCGAAATCCATCCCACAACCCATCCGTCCCTGGTCTGCTTCACCCCACCAAACCTGTTAGCCTATGAAAGAAGTTGAAGGCAGTGGATGAGGTAAATCGGAATCGGCCAGTGAAAAAGTACAATGGAAATGGTGCGCACTTCTTTGACAGAAATGGCTCAAAGGTAAAGTTCTGCAACCAACCTCATCAAATTTTCATTTCAGAATTGTGTGATTGCTTTTGACTACATGTGTGTGTTTGTGAAAAATGTATGTGTAATGTTTTTTGTGTTTCCTTGTTGTGTATTGTTATGTGTCACACTTCTTATATGTTTGTTGATTTTAGAGTTGTCTTAGTGGGTTTCCTCAGATGTCTGTTTGCATGTCACACGTCTTGTTTTGAGATGTCTATGCTTTTTTCAAATGTCTATGTAGTGTGTTGTGTCACTTCTTATAAGTTTTTGCAATTTTCATTCTTCGTTATGGTTTTTCTAAGATGTCTGTGTCAGTTTCATGGTTGTATTTATGTGATTAATACTTTGTGTATCACCCTTTTATTTGGTTTTTCATATGTCTGTGTGGTTTGTTATATATATGTTTGCGGTTTTTTTCACTTGCCCATACGGTGTTACTGAGATGTCTGTGTAGTTTGTTATATACGTTTGTGGTTTTCTCAGTTGTGTATATGGTTTTCCTGAGATGTCTGTGTAGTGTGTATATTATTTTCCTGAGATGTCTGTGTAGTTTGTTATATACGTTTGTGCTTTTTTAAGTTGTGTATATGGTTTTCCTGAGATGTCTGTGTAGTTTGTTATATACGTTTGTGCTTTTTTAAGTTGTGTATATGGTTTTCCTAAGATGTCTGTGTAGTGTGTGTATTATTTTCCTGAGATGTCTGTGTAGTTTGTTATATACGTTTGTGCTTTTTTCAGTTGTGTATATGGTTTTCCTGAGATGTCTGTCAGCATGGGTTGTGTATACATGAGATGTCTGTGTTTATGACCAATGTCTATGTGAATATTTTCAGGATGGAATTGCAAATTCCTCTTAAAGATTACTTTCCCGCCCAATACTCTATACGGTCTTCCTTCTTAGAGGCCTTGGAACTGCTTAGCGAATGCCTTACATTGAAGCAGATGTTGATGGTTACAAAGACGCCTTTTGGACACTTGCTTGATGTTTCATTCTCTGCTCAACTGATTCATTTGTTATTGTTACGCCTTGTGCGTGACCAGCCCGAGGATGAGATGTGGTTTTCCGTGGAGCGAAGGTTGATGAAATTCACATATGATGACTTTAAGAGGATAACTGCAATCCAAGATCTTGTCGAGTGGCCAGCGTATGATGTTAATGATCGGTTGGGAGTCGTTGACAAATACTTTGGTGGATGTGATGATGTAAGCTATGGAAAGTTTAAGGCGAAAATTATAGAACTCAGCGGTACCCCCCGTGACGAAGAAGATTTCATGGACCGTGTGAAGTTATGTTCTTTGTTTTTGGTCCATTGTTGTCTGCTAGCCAGGGATCCGCAAACAAGAATCCATTCGGATTATTTGCGGCTGGTTGATGACTTCAAGCAGTTTCAGTCTTATCCGTGGTCAGTGGATTCGCATAAGGAGACGGTGAAGAGCCTAAAAAAGACAAAGAAAGGGCAGCCACAGAAGTTCAAAGATAACAACGAAAGTAATCCGAAGTATCGACAATGCAAAGTTCAGTTTGTATGGCTTTCCATTGCTTTGCACATCGGTATTGATGTCATTGTCTGTATGGATGTGTACTTCAGAATTTAATGTCTGTATATGTTAATAAGTTGTCTGTATGTAGGTCTGGGCATACGAGGAGCTGTCAGTCCTTGCGTCTAAATTTGCTAAAAGAAGGGTGGTGTGTAATAAAGACAGACCAATGCTGAAATGGAGTGCTGATGGGGTTTTCCATGCCCACGTACTACGAAAGATTGTCTTTAAAGATATTGTTCAAGTACTGTATGGGTTCATGTGTCTTTTGTTAATTTTTAATTTCTGTTTTTATAAACATTTTTAACTTTTCTATGTTTATGTGGTAGGATGATGATGAAGACAAGGATGAGGATGAGCAGAGCGGTGATGATGTTCCGGAACAAGAAAACAAGTCCTTGTGTTTACGTATAACCGATCTTGAAAGGAGGCTGAAAAAAGCTAAACTTGAACTTGCCATTACAAAAGAGTTGGATGAGGTGGAGAGTGATGAAACCGATGAGGTAAATGTCTGCACATGTACTATTGCACTATGTTCTTGTCTTTTGGATCATCTGTATGGAATTTTCAGGGCACTTTGAAATGTAAATGTGTGCATTTTCAATCAAAGTTTTGGGTACTGAAGATACAGAGGAGGGTGAGGAAACAGATGATGATGAGGATACAGATGAGGGTGAGGAAACATATGATGATGATGAGGATACAGATGAGGTAAATGTCTGTACTATTATGAATTTGTCTATAAATGTGTGTGAGGTTGTCTGTATGGAGTTTGTCAGTGCACAAAGATATGACAATGTGGATTTGTACAAAACTTTTGTAGGATGCTAAGAATGAGTTGGACAATCATCAAATCAAAGAGGTGAATGTCTTTATTTGGTGGATTTGGTCTGTACTTAAATGTGAGTTTGTCTGTATGAAGTTTGTGAGTGCAGAAAAGGTTTTACAAACTCGATTTTTCAAAACATATTGTAGGCATGAGATGCGAAGGTTAGGTGCTAAGTGTTGAAGCATGCATGCTAGTGTGTGTTCATGACCAAGAACCTACTGTGGTTGTGCATGACGAAGAACCTACTGTGGTTGTGCAGGAGCAACCAGCTACTATGGTTGTGAATACCGCTGATTGTGAAGAGGTAAATGTCTGTTTTTAATAGTATGTCTGTATTTGTCAAGTAAGTTGTCTGTACCGAATGATCACAGCTTACATTCGGCCTTTCACAAACCCCTTGTTACGCCTTGTGTGTTGTGATCATTCAGTACAAACAACTTATTTGACAAATACATACTATTAAAAAAACAGACATTTACCTCTTTACAATCAACGGTATTCACAACCACAATAGCTGGTTGCTCCTGCACAACCACAGTAGGTTCTTCGTCATGCACAACCACAGTAGGTTCTTAGTCATGAACACACTAGCATGCATGCTTCAACACTTAGCACCTAACCTTCGCATCTCATGTCTACAATATGTTTTCAAAGATCGAGTTTGTAAAACCTTTTCTGCACTCACAAACTTTATACAGACAAACTCACATTTAAGTACAGACAAAATCCACCAAATAAAGACATTCACCTCTTTGATTTGATGACTGTCCAACTCATTCTTAGCTTCCTACAAAAGTTTTGTACAAATCCACGTTGTCATATCTTTGTGCACTGACAAACTCCATACAGACAACCTCACACACATTTACAGACAAATTCATAATAGTACAGACATTTACCTCATCTGTATTCTCATCATCATCATATGTTTCCTCACCCTCATCTGTATCCTCACCATCATCTGGTTCCTCACCCTCCTCTGTATCTTCAGTACCCAAAACTTTGATTGAAAATGCACACATTTACATTTCAAAGTGCCCTGAAAATTCCATACAGATGATCCAAAAGACAAGAACATAGTGCAATAGTACATGTGCAGATATTTACCTCATCGGTTTCATCACTCTCCACCTCATCCAACTCTTTTGTAATGGCAAGTTCAAGTTTAGCTTTTTTCAGCCTCCTTTCAAGATCGACTATACGTAAACACAAGGACTTGTTTTCTTGTTCCAGAACATCATCACCGCTCTGCTCATCCTCATCCATGTCTTCATCATCATCCTACCACATAAACATAGAAAAGTTAAAAATGTTTATAAAAACAGAAATTAAAAATTAACAAAAGACGCATGAACCCATATAGTACCTGAACAATATCTTTAAAGACAATCTTTCGTAGTACGTGGGCATGGAAAACCCCATCAGCACTCCATTTCAGCATTGGTCTGTCTTTATTACACACCACCCTTCTTTTAGCAAAATTAGACGCAAGGACTGACAGCTCCTCGTATGCCCAGACCTACATACAGACAACTTATTAACATATACAGACATTAAATTCTGAAGTACACATCCATACAGACAATGACATCAATACTTACAAAACAAATGGAAAGCCATACAAACTGAACTTTGCATTGTCGATACTTCGGATTACTTTCGTTGTTATCTTTGAACTTCTGTGGCTGCCCTTTCATCGTCTTTTTTAGGTTCTTCACCGTCTCCTTATGCGACTCCACTGACCACGGACAAGACTGAAATTGCTTGAAGTCATCAACCAGCCGCAAATAATCCGGATGGATTCTTGTTTGCGGATTCCTGGCTAGCAGACAACAATGGACCAAAAACAAAGAACATAACTTCACACGGTCCATGAAATCTTCTTCGTCACGGGGGGGTACCGCCGAGTTCTATAATTTTCGCCTTAAACTTTCCATAGCTTACATCATCACATCCACCAAAGTATTTGTCAACGACTCCCAACTGATCATTAACATCATACGCTGGCTACTCGACAGGATCTTGGATTGCAGTTATCCTCTTAAAGTCATCATATGTGAATTTCATCAACCTTCCCTCCACGGAAAACCACATCTCATCCTCGGGCTGGTCACGCACAAGGCGTAACAACAACAAATGAATCAGTTGAGTTGAGAATTGTAGCTGTGCAACATCAAACAAGTGTCCAAAAGGCATCTTTGTAACCATCAACATCTGCTTCAATGTAAGGCATTCGCTAAGCAGTTCCAAGGCCTCTAAGAAGGAAGACCGTACAGAGTATTGGGTGGGAAAGCAATCTTTAAGAGGAATTTGCAATTCCATCCTGAAAATATTCACATAGACATTTGTCATAAACACAAACATCTCATGTACACACAACCCATGCTGACAGACATCTTAGGAAAACCAAATAGACAACTGAAAAAAGCAGAAACCTATATAACAAAGGGAAAATGGAAACTAATAATCCAACCTTTTAGCGGTCTTCTTTCAATAATCCCACCTTTTGATTATTCATGAATAATCCAATCTTTGCACCTCATCTTCATTCACTGGTCCCTAATCAGTTAATGACTTACTATTCCAAGTTATTTTCTTATCTTTGCAAAATATTATCTTTGTGAAAGATGAGATTTATGGTATAATTATTTGCAAAGATAAGAAAATAGCTTGGAATAACAGGTCATCAACCGATCATGGACCAGTGAATGAAGATGAGGTGCAAAGGTTGGATTATTCATGAATAACCCAAAGGTTGGATTATTGTAAGAAGACCGCTAAAGGTTGGATTATTAGTTTCCATTTTTCCTATAACAAACTACACAGACATCTCAGGAAAACCATATACACAACTTAAAAAAGCACAAACGTATATAACAAACTACACAGACATCTCAGAAAAATAATATACACACTACACGGACATCTCAGGAAAGCCATATACACAACTGAAAAAACCACAAACGTATATCACAAACTACACAGACATCTCAGTAACACCATATAGACAAGTGAAAAAACCCACAAACATATATATAACAAACCACACAGACATATGAAAAACCAAATAAAAGGGTGATATACAAGGTATTAATCACATAAATACAACCATGAAATCGACACAGACATCTTAGAAAAACCATAACGAAGAATCAAAATTTCAAAAACTTATAAGAAGTGACACAACACACTACATAGACATTTGAAAAAAGCATAGACATCTCAAAACAGGACGTGTGACATGCAAACAGACATCTGAGGAACCCCACTAAGACAACTCTAAAATCAACAAACATATAAGAAGTGTGACACATAACAATACACAACAAGGAAACACAAAAATCATTACACAGACATTTTTCACAAACACATCCATGTAGTCAAAAGCAATCACACAAGTCTGAAATGAAAATTTTGAGGAGGTTGGTTGCCGAACTTTACCTTTGAGCCATTTCTGTCAAAGAAGTGCGCACCATTTCTGTTGTACACTTTCACTGGTCGATTCCGATTTACCTCAGACATGGCCTTCAACTTCTTTCACAAGCTAACAGGTTTGGTGGGGTGAAGCAGACCAGGGACAGATGGGTTGTGGGATGAGTTTCGGGAGTTCGGAACGCGGTTTTGTGGGATGAACTTCCGGGGTGGACGGAAGATGTTGAGGGGGATGGGTTTCGTGGGTTGTTAGGATTTTGCGGACGGAGAACGGAGAAGACGACGGTGAGAGGAGTTCGATGGAAGAAGGGAGTGGGTTTGGCTGGTTTTTCCGTAGGGGCGGTTTTCGTTGGTGTGGGGAAAGAGAACGGCCGCATGGGAGAAAGGGAAGAGAGGGGGGTGGCGGTTTTTTTTCAAAAGCGGGCGTACGTGGAGGAATTTTGGGGGAGGTTATTTCGGCAGAGAGGGGGTGGGGTGGGTTAGTTACTTTGGCGGTGGGGCTTTTTAAGCTGTATACACGGGCGTGTAACCCGCCGTGTACACAAAGATTTTCCCGTGTTTACTCATTATTTTAACAAATCTATTGTTTTAATTGTAAAACTCAGTTATAAATTGCTGATGTGCCTCACTCTTATTGGTTAACATAGTAATCTATACTAATATAAAAAGAGAAACCAGGATAGTAACCGTTCCTATTTAAGAAAGAAGATAATAACTGTTGCTTCTTCAAAAGTTACGATGGTTCCTGCGTGCTTCAAAAGTTATGACTGGACAAATACGGGCGTGAAGGCCGAAAATCTTTGTGTAACGGAGTATATAAAAACCAAACCTGGTGGAAATAACCGTCCCTGCTCTTCAATCATGTGCTCATGATGACATAGAAGAGAAAAGTTGTTAAATCACTCCTGGTGCAATATGTTACTACGTATAACATCCCATGCCAGTAACTTCTTTCACGTTCAGTTATGCATTGGTCGATAATTAAATACGGAATATAATAGTTGGTGCACCAATAATTTTTTTTGTGAATTCTGACTTGTGAGTCCCGTATTTGTTTAGATATTTGTTACTGTTGTTTGGTTATCTTACTCATTCACTCTTTACATGGAGTATAGCACTTAAATATTGCTTTGTATAGAAAAGTGGTATATTACTCTTTATGTGATCAATATTTGGTCAATTAAAGTTGAATTGAATGTGTCTATTATTCTTGAAGTCCCTTTATCCAACTAAATACGTACGGAGTAGTATATTACTCGGTATTGCTTTGTATAGAAAAGTGGATCATAGTAAAAGTACTTCATATACGGAGTATATCCTAACTCATTAATATCTCATTTGGAAATTATGATAATTAAATGTTGTCAATTAGGATGTTTTCTTTTGGATTATTTTCGGTCTGGGAGCAGATCAGACCAGATCAGACATTCGTAGTTATAAAATACACATAGATCAGGGCAGACCAGGTCAGATTAGACCAGACCAACAAATTTCAGTCCAATATTTATGATAATTATATATTGATAATATTCACCTTATGTAAGCCAAACTTTAAATTTATCATCACTCGCCATAAACGAATATTGCAATAAAGCATAATTGATAGGAAAGTGTAGGCATCACTATTTCTAAACAAACTTTTCGAGTTTACTTCCTCCAGTTTATCTCAAGCTGTAGGTGGTAGTTTCTTTTGAGTTTTATTTATAGTAAAATGATATTCACTCCTTCCCTAAATTAAAGTCATGTTCCTTTTCTGGATGACCCTAAATAAAGTTACACTTTTTATTTGGTAAACAAATCTTCATCAAAACAATACAGTACAATACAAAATATTGACAAAATACTGTGCAAAGTCAAAGTTTTTTGAAAATGAGGTACAAAATCCAATATCACCCAAGAAGTTGGGTGCAAAGTCAAATTCACTCAAATAGTTACTATGTATAGCATTACTATTAATCTTATCATAAATGAAAATTTATATCCGTGCATCGCACGGGTACAATACTAGTTTAATTAAAACAGTAATGTAGAAAACGAATAAGAGAAAAAGTAGGAGAAAAAATTGGAGGAAAAACATTGAAGACCTGGGAGAAAAAAGTGGAAGAAATCGTACATATAAATTGAAACATTCACACTATTAAAATAGATCAAATATACAAACGATGAATTCCTTAATCAACTTTTGTTTTGATTATTGATTTCGGTTTTTCAAAAATGAATTTTTCTATTTTTTTATAGAATATGTCAATTTATAAAAGTTAAGCTCTTGCAAAAACAAATTGCATACGTAACTTAAGCATATATATGTACCTGGTAATAACAGAATCAGCTGAATCAACTTATTCTGCTGAATCAACTTAGTCTACAGTGGCTGATTTGATTGATTTAGTTGATTTTTGAATAAATTATATTTAAGATATATTTTTTCAATAAAAGAAAAGAAAAGTATACTAAAAGATAACTAAAATGATCTTCTACAGTAAATTCGGTCAATACAGCCAGAAAAGTATCTTCAACCTTACTTTTTCTTATTCTGGAGTATTACACAATTTATCGCGCGAAATTAAAAGTTACGTGTTTGGTGAAAATGTTGATTGATAAGTCAAAAAAATAGGATTATCAATCATGCTCAAAGTTACTTTACACTAGATTATCCAGTATATACATATAAAGTATACAAACGCAATGAAAAGTAATTTTATCGCTTCAACAAATAAAATTCATTAGATCAAAATTCGTAAATTTTTATGATCATTCATATGTCATCAATAGTGCATATAATACGTATAAAATAAAAATAATATTATTTTATCCAATAAAACCGAGTTATAAATCAATGATGTGTCAGTTTCTCATTAGTTAATAAAAAATCTATTATCGCTGTACGTAAAAAAAAAAAGCTATTATCACTACTATCAAAACATTTAATGAATTCAAGTTCACTGTGTGCTTCACTACTATTTACTTGTGGGTCATTATTATTCACTTTAATCACGTCAGTTTATATGAAGAAAGGAGAGGAGATTTTTTCCTTTTTTGTACTCCAATTATAATAGAAATCATTTAATTAGTCTAAGTTCACTTGGTGCATCACTTTTATTCACTTAGTACATCATTACTATCCACCTTGGTGCATCACTACTATTTATTTTAATCCAACAAACTTATTTGGTGTATCACTCCAAAATTCACAATGTACAAAACAAAAATCATATACTGTTATGATCTTTCATATGACACCAAATTTCATATATAAAAATACTATTGTAAAAATTGAGCTATAAATCAATGAAATACCAAATCTATAGAAAAATTTGAGTTTAAATGTATATTATGAAAAGTGAACATTTACATAATAGTTGTGACACATAAGGAATCCAATTTTCATTAAATATTTAAGATATGGTTACAAAGTAGTGACATGCCAGTCATTTATTGGTCTGGTTAATAAAAATTATATTATCATTATTATGGAAAGATTTAATTAGTTCCAAACAAAAAGATGGAACAACTCTAATGGAAAAGAGAGAGAGAGAGAAGGAGGAAATTAGACCAAAACAGACAGATCATATTATTAGCCCAAAACATTCAAATCATATCATACTAAATAAAAAAATGAGATCAGACCAGAACACTCAGACCAAATTAGAAAAGTTCATATATAATTTATAACTTTTACTATTATGATGATTGCTAACTAATCTTAATATTTATGTAGGTTATTAGTGTATGTTGCTTTTGTTAAAATTAATTATGAATGATGTTATTCTATAATCTTTTTTTGTATGTTATTGTTATTCATAAAACATCATATATTACTACTATGATTATTGTCAATGATAAAATTATTATTTAATTGAAATATTACTATTAATGTAATTTTATCATGATCAATATTTATAAATGATTATTATTATAAAAGTGTAGGTTGTTGGAAGGGGCGGAGGTATAGTGTTGCCGACATCCCTGACCCACCCCAAATTAAAAAATGTCTTAATTTTTAAGGTGAAAAATTCCGTGTGAAATAGTTTCTAAACAAATTTTTTGGTTCGGTCAAGTCCGGCCCAATGCCCTGACTACGCCTCTGATTGTTGATATATGTAATCTAATTATAATAGTAATACTTCATATTATTGAACCTATGATGATAATCATAAATATAAAAATTAGGATAATTATAACGACAATAAAATGATATTATAATTATAGTTATAATTGTATTTATAATTATATTTATAATTGTAGTTATAATGATGATAATAATGACAATGATAATCATAATAATAACTTAATAATACTAATAAACACTCAATCACATAAAAGCGTTTAGATTAGATCGGAATTTCAAATCAGGTCAAAATTTGAAGAGCTCAGATTACATAAGAGAGATTTAGATCAGAACAGAAAGATTTATTACGCGGGATCATACAAGATCAGGAAAAATTCAGATTAGATCAAACCAGATCTTAAAAACTTTAGATCGTAAATATTCATATCAGACTAATATAACAACTTCTAATATCAACCATATTCATAGTGTATATTTCTCGGAATAAATACTGTATAAATTTAGTTTCCTAAATAATTGTACAAGATCAAATTCTTTGAATAATGAGACTATAATACACGTAATAATAACGCATAATAGGATTCTATTCATACAAAAATAATATTACACATTTGAGTGAGACTCTAATTCAAGACCAAAATTTTTAAATAATGGAACTTTAGGTCACGTAAACATGACTTTGATCGTACATTCGTACAACACCAATAATACACGTGAATATCCAAAATAATGTAAAATTAAAAACTCCACATATTCCCAATTCCAATTGCTGGAAACAAGATTAATCGTGACAACAATAAGTAAATAAATCACAATGTAATTACAAATTTATTCTCCTAAAGATGTTGATTCATCACCCGTATTCATGGTGGTGGGTTAGCTCATAAAAGAAATCGATTGTGGCCAATTTTTTTAATCATATCTTATGAATATTTCACAAATTTAATACGTAGTAGTTTTTTCCCCACAATGTTTATTACTATTTGACATTTGACCCATATGAAATTAACACTACTGGAGCATGCCCGGGTGTTACACTAGTTCAATTATTATAACCAATTTTTAACGTTTCCAAACGTGTCGTAGACTTATAGCCGTCCATACTGAATTACTGAGACATGATTAGACACGATTCTTGCTGTTTTAGTACGTACAGGTCCGGCCTTAGATTTAATTCAGCAAGACTAAAATGCACTAAATGGTTAAAATTGGCTTCTTTTAAATATGCATTTTACTTTAGCAAAATCAAATTGAAAAAACCAAAATTGGCTTCTTCAGTTAATTCAATTAAATGTATCGTAACCCATATATATATATATATATATATATATATATATATATATATATATATATATATATATATATATATTAGTAAATTTAGTTCATAAATTAAAAAAACGTGTTTACTAAATATCTAATTGATAAAACCGATGGATGATGCTATGACTAATTGATAAATCAAAACAGACCTGCTACCAAAGTGCACATAACGAATTTGCTATGACAACAAGTTAATATGAAACAGGTGGTATTGGATGATGCTAAGGAGAGAGTGATAATGTTTTCAACTTTTCATCCAGATGCAGCCCTATTAATTCGTAAGCTGCAAAATCTCTACCCTGTAAGTATTTTAACCTTGACCCTCCAATGGTTCTTAAAATAGTGTTTGTGATACCGGGGAGTAGGAATTAGGAAGAGGCCAGAGGGTGTCACAAGATAGAGGTTTCAGGTTCAACTTCAAATAATGATTTGAGATGGAACCCCACTTTCTTTCTATCAGTGTGATCAAAGCTCAAATTGCATCTGTCAAGTCGGTTATGGTGACCCTCAAGGATGGGGTGATAATCTTTTTTTAAATAGTGGTTGTGATCATAGGCGTAGTACTGTAGTTAAGGAGAAAATATATTGAGCACGTCAACGTGCTCCGTAGTGAGCACATAGGCGTGAATAGTGGTAAGGATTCATTCATCTTAAGTTTTCAGAGAATTTTGACCATTTTTCATGTCAACGTGCTCCGTAGTGAGCATGTTGACGTGCTCCATACATTTTCTATAGTAAACGGGGTTATGATAGGCTCCGATTCAGTTCATTTTTATCGGATGTCCCTGAAGGGACAAACTCTGATTCACCCCAAATTTGATAGGAACGTTGATTTCACCTTGAAAGAATTTAGTGTAAAATGTCATCCCAAAATACCTTTATTCTGATTTCAATTAATAAACGCTTTCGAGTCATTTCGCACCAGGTTTTCTTCCTAAGCAATGGAGGAAATGAAATACATTCAGACACCAGAAGAAACTCATTAGAAGAGGCGGTAAAGCTGTGTTTGGCAGGGGGGCTCCAAGGAATTGTTTCTGAGGTGAAAGCAATACTGAGAAATCCTAGTGCAATTAACAAAATCAAAGACTCCCATCTTTCCCTCATAACATATGGTCAGCTCAAGTAAGTCTTCTCATATTTTATTATAAAATTAATCATGAAATTTTTTGTTTGATCATAAGAAGTGGTGTCATGTCTCATAGGCATGACAAAAACTGCAATTTTTCCATAAGGCTCATCCCAATGGATATAGATTGGGTTGGTAACATGACTAGTCAGGGCTAGTCATATGATGGTATATCAAATATGAAGAGTATATGCTTTTCCTATTTGACAATGTTTTATGTTATTGTTTTATTATACTAATCATTAACTTTGTTTGTTACTAAAAAGCACATTATTCATAATATATATCATACCCAGTACTCTATTATACGATCGTAGATTAATTATATTCTTACAGATGCATTATATTACATCAAAGAAAACCTAAAAGGTACGAGTGTTACATTAGTGAATTAAGGGAAAACTTTGAAGGTAATTACATTGAAGAAAACCTAGAAGGTATTGCATTAGTGAATTAAGGGGAAAAGGTCAAATAGGCATTTCCAATATTCCAAATAAATTACTTCAGACCTTATATTAGATGCAAAAATAAAACTAATTCCAAAGACTAAAAGGCCTATTTGTTCATTTTCTGTGAATTAATAAAGCTTCAAATAAGGGTTACAATTTAAAACTCACAAGAGTATAAACCAAGTTGAAAATATTGCAAAATTCTATCCTTATGTCTATAATTAAGTCAAAATTAGAATTAGGGGTGGGCACGGTCCGGGTCGGTTCGGGTAAATGATAAATTTTCAAGAACCACTGGTTCCATTTAGTGGGTAGGTTCGGTCAGGGTACCAATTTTCAAAATAGGAACCGAACCTTACCCGCCCCGTTTAAAACGGGCCGGTTTGGTCCGAGTCCTCGGTTCTGTATTTGTAAAAAAAAAGACGACTATGCAAACAAAGCTTCTAGTAAGTTATAAAATTCTCAAATTAATTATGTATTAATATAATCAAAATATAGTAAAAATTCAAAATAAAGTATAAGACAACATTTTAAATTAGTTAACAAAATATCGAACCACAAATCTTTAAAATAAACAACACATAACCACCTTTATTAAAATGTTAATCATCATTCATAAATAAATTAAAAAGATAGGGACATAAATTCATACGAAATTAAACTAGTTACTTTACATATTTGTCTATGAAAACAATTTAAACCTTATTAAATCTCCAAGTATAAGTAAAATTAAAATAATTAAATGAATATGTCACACTTCATTGAGTAAAGAGTCTTTGTTTACAAACAATATTAAAGAAAGAAAGTTTGATGCATTTGGAATAGAGAATAGAGGAAAATAATTTAGGAGTTTAATTATACGGACATGGAAACTAGTTTTAATAGACTGAGAAGTTTCTTTAATTGGAAGTCTTTGTCTAGACACAAGAACATGAAGAGTTTATTATACTAGTATTATACATAGAGATAATTAAAATAATCTTTTAAAACGGGTCGGTCCGGGCAGGGGCGGATCTGGCTCTAGGCCAGGGAGGGCCTAGGCCCAACCTGAAAAAAAAATGAAATTACTAGTATATATATGTAGTATATTACATATATTGTTGTTAGACAATGGTATAACTCTAAAGAAAGCCAATTTACCAACAAATACCTTATAGGTGAGTAGTTCCATTCTCATGTAGAGCATTTTTTTTAACTTTTCAATGGGATAGCTAAGTGTGTAAAAATTTCAATTTTTTTTCTAAAATCTCTTTCTCCACCCGGGAAGAATAAAAGGATTTAAACTTGGTCTCCTAATTTCAATTACTACAAGCTCAACACCAATCTCAAACGGTGAATGAGCTAGATACTAATATTGTGAACGCTTTTGGGCTTTTGAATATTAGCATGAAAAATCAATTTGTTCAAATTATTAATCCTGGTAGGTGAAAATTAGTTCAATATGTATGGGCTTGAGGTGTTTTTTCTAATCGACAAAAAATCTTATTCCTGTTATATTTTTTTGAACGATTATTCTTGTTATATTTATTTTTTCTTTGGCATTTATTTGCAATCGATTTTATTTTATGTTTAAAAATAAATTTTGTTTAATGACATACTATTGTACTACATGCTACATTTTGACATTTTCAAAATATTTTATTTAATTAAATTTTGGCCGCAGCTCGATGGCAATGTTAGATCCGCCCCTGGGTCCGGGTACCCGTTTTTTCAAATTTTAAGACCCGTTCGGTTCCTAATTTTTCAGGACCCGCCTCGAACCGTTAGGATTTTCTAAAATTAGGACCCGACCCTAATCCACCCAAACTTGTATTACCCGACCTGACCCACGGTTCCAGTACATGTTTGCCCACCCCTAATTAGAATCAAGATTTGAATAGGAAAAGGTAAACTGACTTGAATCACATTTTCTTACAAAAAAGACAGGAAACATTTATTTTGGATAATGCAAAAGATAAATAAGAAATTCTTTTTGAGACGTATGGATAATTATATAGACTTCCCCACAATTAGGATGTTTTTAGTTGGATTTATTTTAGTTTCAGATCAGAACAAACCAGGTGAAATCTAAACAGACCTGACCAAACCAAATCAGAATAGATCAGAAAGACTTAAACAAATCACAACGGACAAAAAAAGATTTTGATAGTTGTAAAATACAAATAGACCAAAATCTACCAACCAGATCATATCAGACAATCAGCCCAAAAAATCTCAATCCTATTAAAAACATCCATTAATCCAAACCATTGTTTATTAATTCTTTCCTTTTTTAAAAACAAACCCTCAACCCAAAGCATTGTTTATTATTTCTTTCCTTTTTTACATACCAACGGACCCCCGGAGAGACTATGTTGAAAGACTCGACTCGGACCGCCTGGTCCAACCCGGAACCCGCCCACCCGTTTACAAATGCGGTCCGGTTAGTAACCAACCCGTAAAACAGCCAGTACCCGAAAAAACCCGATGGCCCGCTACAACCCGCGTCGGACCCGGGCCCGGAATTAAACGGAAAACCCATGAAAACCGGAGTATGGAAAAAATTTAAACTGCAGCCCAAAATTCCCTACGCGAGATTCGATCTCATGTCTGCACCAACCCACAACGTACTGTAACCATGCCACCACAACACCAAGTTGCGATTTCTCGTACGTATAGCCTCATATAAACACATTATTCTCTTACGTATTACATGCGTACTAACTACAAGAGATCTCCTAACTACAAAGCTATCATATTACTACCTATATCTTTAAATAACATTCCACATATAATTGAAACTTAATCATACAATTCAATACCTTAATGAATTTTAATGAATAAAGTTACGTTCATATTTTCTTGTAGCAAAATGTATATATATGATATATTTGAATGTTTATTCTAGAAAGAACATAATTAGGATTAAAACTTACTTTTAAACATTACTACGTATGTGTGTTTTTTAATGTTTACTAAGGATTAACATTATTTCATTATTTTGAAGACTAATTAGCTTTTAATTTAATTTTATATTATTATATGTTAATTGTTAAGTACTAAGGAGTATAAAATTTTATTTATATTGACCGGGTTTTCCGGGCGTTGACCGGGCAGACCCGCCGGGTCCGGGTTGACCCTTGACCCGGTCATCGCTCCGGGTTGCTCTCCGGTCCGGTTTTTACAACATAGCTTAGAGAGACATAAATATTTCGAAAGTAAGACAAAACGTAAGTCAGTACAATGTACTACTTGTATAATTTTATTATTTAAGTTCGGATATGCCAAAATAGTTTATCACTAAGAGCATCTCCAATACTATAATGTCCACGGTGCACATGTGGCATGAGTGATAGCCACATAAATATTAGCAAATAAATTATTTCTCTCCTTATTTGAATGATTTTATACAATTTTGGTAAGTTTTTCCCTGCAATGTCAACAACAATGTCAGCATCTAGACGATCTCCTTGACAGTGTGGAGAAAAACTTACCAAAACTATATAAAATCATTCAAATAAGGAGAGAAAAAATTTATTTATTAATATTTAAGTGGCTATTTCTCATGCCACGTGTGTACCGTGCACATTTTACCATTGAAGATGCTCTAAGAGATCTAATACCACTACAACTTGCACCTGAATAGTTCCGAATCTTATTTGTTAGTATCTGATTTCTAATTTTTTCTTAGTTATAAAATACAAAGATACCAGACATTTATCAGACCAGACCAGCAAATTTCAGTCCAGCAAATTTCAGTCCAAAAGAAAGCATCCCAAGTCTTCTGGAGTTAATTACAGTCAATTCTTTAACCTTCCTTATGGAAATTTAATTAAAATCTGAGCTGCTGGATGGCTGGGAATTGAATTGAACATCACCTTATGAATGCATTTATGTAGTAATGTGGGTGAGGTTGTGTACATGCAACGCAATATGGGCGTAGAGGGCGTCATCGTTGACGTTGTTGAAGAGATTATGGAAACGGTGTCGGAACTCAACGACACCGACAGCGGTGAAAGGGGTCAAGCTTTGTGCATAGATGAGAAGACGGTGCTAACGGAGAAAATGGATCGTCATTGCTCTAAGGAAGAAATCTTGTGTTTATTCAGCCTTCTCCCCCTACTGCTGCATCGGTAGTGTTGAAGGAGTATATCTTGTGTTTATATAGATACTCGTATTTATTTTCTTAAAAAGTTTCATACGACGTAGTATATATCATGTGTTTGGATTTTTTTGTTGGACAAAATTGCATATTTTTTCTCGTAATAAATGGAGGTACATGTTTATTTGTAACTAGTTTTGTAATTTTACTCACTTGTAGTCATTACAAAAAGAAACCAAAAGGTAAAACTCATAAGTAACAAAAAGAAAAAAAACACGGGATTGACAGATATTTGTGGCATGCCTTATTTTACTCGTACATCGTTTAGAAACCAAAAGGTAAAACTCATAAGTAGTTTAGGATAAATATGCAGTAATAAGAATTTTTAATTTAGTGGACGAAATTACGAAAACAGTATTTTTAACACCTAGTAGTACACTTGAAGAATTCCTCCATATAATTTGAAAGTATCAAGGAAGTTCACTTTAAATATGAAGACGATATAATCCAGGAGTTTCACTTTAAGTAGCAAATGCCATTGAGACATTTTTAGGAATAAATTATGCACATCAAGTTACTCCAAAAGTGAGTATTCCGCATACAAGTTCTTTTAAGCTATATTTCAAATTTGAAGCAATTACACAATTACACAAACTCAAGGTGAAAAGGTACAAAAATCAAACTCTAGGTATAAAAAACTATGGCTATGGAGACTGAACGAGAGTACTGCATATAACAAAACTGTGTACTTCAATAACAGCTTTGTCTCAAAAGAACTCTTTTACCTAGATAGAGAGGGAAAGAAAAATAACAAAACAGTGTATCACTACAAAAAGTTAGTTTATGAAATCTGTTTATGTATCACTAATAATATCTGTTTGTTCATCAATCATCAGTGCATTAATATCAATGAGGTCATCTAATCTAATGTCAACCAAAACTTCCTAATTGTAAATCATTTCCTTATTCACTACAACTGCAGCCACCAATTGTGGAATTTTTAGTAGGGCCTCTTTATTCTTATGTTAGGTGAATTTATTGAAATAAAAAATCATGGATCCTATCTCCAATTAACATTTTTATGTAAAGAATTAATTTCACTTATAATTACAATTGGATTAGTAAATTATGAAATTCGGTGCTTACGTTAGAACGTACTAAACATTTTCGTCAAGCGGTGCAATTTAAAAAATTAAACTCTCCTTCAGGGACGGAGGTAGAGGGCCAACTGGGCTCGAGCCCGGGTCCACCTAAATTTGAAAATTATTTATGCTTTTAGTTAGGTTTTATGTGTAAAAGTTTATCTGAAAAATCTATTTTTATATTGGCCCAGCCCAATTTTCACTTCTGGTTACATCTTTGCTCTTCTTATATAAACCAATTAAGGGGTATATGAAATAGATTCTATTTCTGCTTATTTTTTAAAGCTAGAAGCATATTAGAACGAGTTTTTCAGAAGTTTGTCTCTTTCATCTCCTAAAATACTGCATCTACAAGCAATTTGGAGTACCCAAAAATACTTTTATAGTTTCACCCAAAACCGTAATTATCAGTATCTACTTGCTAAAGAGAAAAAACATATTCAAGAAGTAGATCCACAATTACTACTTTACTACGCACACCCTCCGTTTCACAATAAATGAAAGTCGCACTTTCCTTTTTTGGATGTTTCAAAACAAATTCACATTTTCTTATTTGATAAACAAATCTACATCAATACAGTACAAAACTGTATCAAACAGTGTCAGACAATGTACTCTGCAGTACAATTTTCTCCCTCATTAAAACAAATTCCTTAATTTTTTTTTTGATCATCCAAATTCCTTAATCTTTGTGAAATCAAAGTGCGGCTTTGATTTTGAAACTGAGGGAGTATATATATAGTTCAATGGAATAGACAATGTGAAATAAAAAATGTTGACTTGTCAAAAAAATTCCACTAACCTGAAGGATCTAGTGAGTACATTAGCTGATAGTGTTTGACCTCTATGCACCGCAATATTTTAGCACTCAATTTGCAATTTCGTTAGGTTAATACGTTTTCGATTAGCCTACTGCTGGAAACAAACTCAAGCTTAGATTGGATGTTGTATCTAAAACTTCCTAAATTGCTAGTTAAACCAAATTTTAGAAGATTGAACGAATACAATTTAGCTAAATTATCTCTTTAATTAATAGTGAATAAACTAATAGTTGACATGACATGGATTTTAAACTATACCAAGCAGTCATTTTAGTTGTCTAACTTGGGTATCTTCTATTATATAAAACCAGGAGAAAAACTGTACAGTGTTCCCACCCAAACACTGTACAGTAACGGGTCGGGTCAGTTCAACATGGGTCCGGAAACGGGTCTGGTGCAGGCCCACTGCTGTTCTTTAATGCTAGACACTTACGCAGGTTTTGGTTGTGTGGCTCAAAACGTGTAAAGTATTATTCAGTACAGAGCATTAAATGTATTCCAGTTCGCAGAGTGGTTGCTTTTATTATTTAAAAATGCTAAATTGTACTTTTGAACCAAGAGATCACAAATAAAATCCTCATGTAGGCATTGAGCCACAAAAACATTAAATGATTTGTAATGGTTTTCGAAAATGAGATATTGTAATGGTTAAAAAAATGAAGTGAATTGTACTTCAAATCTTAGAGGCCACAAATGTAATCCCAAAGCAATTCTTGAGCCACACAAAAATTTAATGCATTGTACCATCTTTGCAAACTATATTAATTTTTGTACTACAAAATCCAAACGTAAAGATTGAGTGGGATTTTTAACCTTTGGTTAACCACGAATTGCCCTACGTTATACTTCCCCCCAGCCATTAAAAATACCCAAGCCAGGGATAGTCACAACACACCACAAACCAGAAATTCGGCATTCTAATTTTAAAATCAGAGCAATGGCAGCGGGTTCATCATCATCAGGGATGTGGTCTTTGATCAAGGATATCGATCACACTAAGTCCATCTGGGCACTCAAGGTTAGGATGGTAAGGGCCTATGAGGTTCCTCCTCACTCAAAGGGAGGGTAGACTCTTGAGATGATTTTGCATGATGCAGAGGTACGGTTTATAAGATTTAACTCATACTACGTACAATGTAAAATGCTTGATAGAAGTTTGTTTTTAACTATGAATGTGTTAATAGGGTGATCGGATTCACGCAATAATAAGGAGGCTGCAGATTGCAATGTACAGTCTTATGATAACGGAGCACAAAATTTATGCCATACAGAAATTTTTTGTGCTAGACAATTACCAAACGGTGAAGACCACAAATCATCCCTACCTAATTCAGTTCATCTCTAAAACCCAATTTAGGGAAGATGCAAAGACAGAACTGCCTATGATGGTCTATGATTTCCAACCTTTTGACATGTTGCACGCCCAAAGGGTTATCAATGACAAAAGTCTCATTGGTGAGCTAAAATCAAATTATAGTCCTTTCTACATTACCTAGGTAAATGTACTTACTACAGTTTATCCCTTGCGATGGCAGATATCATTGGGAAGGTGCTCACCAAAAGCCTTATTCAGACCCATATCATCAACAGGAGGACTGAAAGGCTAATGGAGTTAATTGTGACCGACCTGGAGTTAGTTTTTTGTTCATTAAGAAGATTATGGTACGAGAAACAATCCTTATGCCTATTGACAGAAACTTCTTAAAACTATAGGGGTAACAGAACGGGCTGTGTATTATGGAACAAGTACATAAACCAGTACCTCGATTATGTTAATGTGAATGCAGGAGTGCCTGTTTTTGTGATATTTCAACTCTGTATACCCAAAAGATACCAAGGTTTTAGAAAATTTGAAACATTCATTTTAGCAAAGAACCAGTAGCAAGAGCTTGACCTAATGTTATTTTAACGCAGGGACCTTGACTGCGAATTCCTCCTTTGATGTGTCAAAGCTCATCATCAACGGAAACACTGTTGAGTTCCTAGAGTTTCAAAGCGAGTACAATAAATTTTTTGTTTCAAAGATCATAATTAGTCTCCTAAAAACTAACATCCCACTACGAAACAATGCAAACAGATTTCCAGCTAATGGTGACGACACCATGACTCAAACCTGCATCACGTAGTGCTCACAAGCAGGAAAGCAGGGACGATGTAGTCGGTGGAAATGCTGTCATAACCATTATGGAGGATTTGATGAACACAACTGAGGTGAATGTTAAAACATTGAAGCTAGCTATTGTAGTTGTGGCATTTTCTATAGTTATATATAACCACTTTTACTCAAAAAACTTTTTAATTGAACAGGAGGATGTTTACTGGGTACTTGTTGAGATAGTTTCTATAGAAAACTTTCAGGAATGGTGCTACCTAAGCTGCCCAACATGCCACAAGAAACTGGTGCTCGAGGAGGAAAGGTTTAGGTGCACAATTTGTATCATGATACTGGCAGATGTAGTTTATCGGTACTTTACTTTACCTAATGTGTTCTTATGATTGTAGGATGTATTGGTTTTCAAATAAATAAATAGGTTGTTATTCTTAAAATGATTCAGTTACAAGGTAAGCGTGTGTATAATGGAAAACACTGGGCATGTAAACTTTATTCCATGGGACAGGGAATGCATAGAAATTCTGGGTAAAACTTCTGCAAGCCTAAAGGCCAAAGTGGAGCAGGTAACACTATATTTTGAGGGCAGTGTATATTTCTTTGAGATCTATAATTCATATTGTATTTGATTACATAACACAGAAAACCAGGGATCCAACTCGTTTTCTTGAAGACATTGAAAGTTTGATTGACAAAAAGGGAATATTCAAAATATAGCTAAAGAAGAAGAAAGCTTAAGAAAATGCCTACAATGGTGGGATTTCTCTAGGAGTGGTTAGAATGATACGAGATCCTGTTGTTTGGGCAATGTATGAGGGGAAGAAGGAGCACTTGGGAACTAATGAAAGTCATGAGTGTACACCAGAAAAAGTATTCAGAAAAAGTATTTGTGTCTATTTCCAGCTTGGATTTAAATATGACGACTAAATGTGAAACTTTGCCTTATAAATTGGTTCAAATGCAAACTTGGGAGAGAACTCCAACAGAGAGAAGTCCACTATCACAAAGGGCAAGGGGAAACAGATTTCTGCGGAGAAGGAGGTAAACGCTCAAACCTAACATGTTTATAATATTTTAGTTACGAAATTCTGAAAATGGATAACTAAGTGACTATTAAT